GTTGGACGGGGCTCTGAGCAACCTGATCTAGTTGAAGATGTCCCTGCTCATTGCAGGGGGGTTGTCCTAGATGACCTTTAGAGGTCCCTTCCAACCCAAACTATTCTATGATTCTATGATTCTATAATCTCTTTGGTAAAACATGCCAGACACTACAAAGGGTTTTTTTTCTTTTTTTTTTGTTTCCCCCCCCCCCAAGATAACAAGCACTATCATTTTGTTTTGTTTTGGAGTGCTTTCATATACAGATCTACACATGTGGATGTTATGTTACATCTTTCAAAATATCCTTCAGGTTTGTTTTATAGCTCTCCTGGCTGCTTATTGCAGAATGGATGGTGGGGCAGAATGAGACCTCACTTGTAGAATTCAGCATTGCCTGAACATTGAGTCAGCAATTAATTTAGAAGTTAATTTGTAGTCCTTCAAAAAAATAGATCGATGGTTTGGGAGTACACACAAACCCACATGTGCTAAATAGGATAGACTACTGATATTTGTGATCCTATTTTTTATGCAAACCGAAGGCAAACATTCTTAGAAATAAGTGTGACTCTTCCCTTGAGGACCTGAGCTGACATTGACAAAGGATGTTGGGATCTGGCTAAATGTGAGAGAGAAATTATTGACAGCACATGCTTGTTCTGTGTCCTTTTGAGGAGAGCATGTTTCCCCTCTCTGGTTTATTTAGCGCTGTTCTCGTGGATGGAATACAGAAGTGTCCTTAGAATATCATTAAGGTCAGGGCTATGTTAGAAGTTTTCAATGTGGATAAATCTTCACCCCACTAAGCGTGAGAGAGGAGGTTTACTTATTTTCTGTCTTGGCAAATACCTCAGTAATATTCATCCCATGGGGAAGCGGGCTGCTGGGATTTATGACTAGGTTGTTCCCATCTTGGTAACAATGTCTGGGTTTTACAACCTGACTTGCTCCCAGATTAATTTTAAAAATGTTGAAATTGTGGTCTTGTTAAAGTAAAAAATGGGAAATGTAAATTTCTAGTTTATCTGCAAAATCATATTTCCAACGGTTTCTGTGCTGGAGTTGGAATTTTAGATTTTTTCCAAACTCTCAGGACTTTGCAGTGACATTATTCACTTACTGAGTCAGGTTACATTACTCAAATAATCCTGCCATTTTAACCTAGTACTTTCTGTTAAGAAGTTTCCTAACTAACTTTTTCTAGTGAGAGTTAATCCTCCAGACCTTTAAGGTCCCAAACTCTTTCATTTCTCTCATTTTTTCATCTGCATGACTTGTTTATTGGCACTTCTCTGCTTTTTTGGTCATCTTTAGTTACTGCCATTTCTTTTTGCCATCACTGATTTTACTGATGACTAGTCTTAATTCTTTTTGTTCCAACATGGATGACATTAAATCCTGTATACTAATCTGTACAATGGATTTCTCCTTTGGAGACAAATAAAAAAAAAAAAAAGAAAAAAGAGGATTTATATGAAACAATTTAAATCTGTCTCCCTCTTGCTGCTGAATGTAGGGAGTGAATTGTTGCCAGACAGGAAAGGCTGCTGTTGATTAAAACCCAAGAAAGCCAGTTAGCTGGCAGGGAGACAGCATTTTTGGAACGATAGCTGGTTGTTGTACTCCCGGTTTCTGTGGAGCCAAAGGGATTTATGAGGAGCTGTATTTCACTGTGAATTCTGCATAGTATGTGCAAACGTGGGAAACCAAAGGCAATCTGATTTTGCTAACTAACTCTGATGTCTGGCAAGTTCAGAGGTACTTCGTGATGGAGCTAACCTGGCAAGAAGGAACAGGAACATAGCTCCTAGGTATATTCCATTATGGAAGGTCTTTATTTCTGGCTATTTTTCTTTCTTCTATTTTTTGTTTTGTTTTGCTTACATATATCAGGGACTTTGAAACTTCACATTGCCAGGTTAAATTATTCAACAGATTCCTTGCTTCAGGTCAGACTGCTTTGTGCTCTGTGCTTTACAACTCACCCCTGTTTGGTTTTCCTTAAATACAGTAGTCGCATTTTTTCCTTCCTAACAACTCAGCAGCTGGTTTTAACTAATGCATATTTGCTAAACAATAATTTTAAGTGCTGTTACAACGTTATGAAAAGGATCTACACTCTGCAGCAGCAGATGGCTGTTTCATCCCAAGTACCTGGATATAAATGGAAAATCTGAAACAGCACTGTTCATATACAGCATTGAATTTCCTTTCTCATTCTTCCCTTCTCATCATAATATCCGGGGATCAGGAGGCAGACAGCCCAACTCATAGAATCATAGAATCATAGAATGGTTTGGGTTGGAAGGGACCTCTAAAGGTCATCTAGTCCAACCCCCCTGCCGTGGGCAGGGACATCTTCAACTACATCAGGTTGCTCAGAGCCCCGTCCAGCCTGACCTGGAATGTTTCCAGGGATGGGGCATCCACCACCTCTCTGGGCAACCTTTCTTAGACCAAATTGCCCACTTGTTTTATTCCAATAGAAATACTTGGGGGGGGCATCTGTAATTCAGTATATTGCAATAACCTCTATCTAACCAAATGTACGTGCAAAAACATGTTCATGAATTTTAAGCTGCGTTCACTTAAAGTGCTGTAAAAGAAGCAGAACAAAACAAAACAGACTGACTGAAGGGTAGAAAGAATTTTGTTTATGTTGCAAGTAACAGAAACCAAAGACTGATGTCACTGGCAATTTAGCCAGGAGAGACAAATGAGCATTCTGGGATTTTTTAGTATTATTATTTATTTGTGTAATTTTCCTTAATCATCTTTTACTAAGCGGTTAAATGAGAGCAGAACAACACATTAAAGTTAATTCCTAATTCTTCACATTTTGCTAAACTTTAGCTTTCTCCTTTCAAAGAATTTTGAAAAAAAACCCCAAAAACTCCCCCACCCAAAAAAATCACAACTAATTTCTCCTCATTTCCTGGCAATGATTTACTACCACAGTGCTCAAGTGCAATCTCAAGTTACTTAAACTTCATTGCTTTTACAAAATATTCTGCAGTATTTACAAGTTATGAATAATACCATACATAATTAAAGCTTCATTATGCTTGACAAGTGAATGAATGAAGTGAATTTTGTGATGCATTACCCAGTCCTTGGTTGGGGGTTTTGTTTTTTGTTTTATTATGATTTGTCACAGCATTTTAAACCTTTTGTTTCTCCTACTTCTTCAGTTATTCAGCAACTTGGTATATTCTAGAATTCACAATGGGACTCCCAGGCTTCATTGCAAATTAATGTGATTCTATTGCATTATATGATTAAATGTTATGCCACTTATATTCTCATAACAAACTTCAGTAGAAGGGCATGGATTCGTTTTGCACCATTTTCTAAATTTGCCAGTAGGGAAGCTGAGGTCTTTAAAAGTGGGGTGGAAGCAATCGGACCTTTTAGCATGATGGACTAGAGTTGCAACAGGACCCAAGCAGACGAAGGAATTACTGTGCAATTGGCCTCAGGAGAAGCAGATTCTTAGGAAATATTTTCAACACTTCAGAAAGTATTCAGTGCTGGGTTCCCCAGTACAAGGATACATGGACATACTGTTGGTCAGACAGTCCGTGGAGTTTCCGTCTGTAGAGCTACACAAAACCAAGTGGACATGGCCCTGAGCAACCTTCTTTAACTGACTGCTTCAAGCAGGGGTGTTGGACAAAATAGTTTCCAGAGGTTCCTGCCAACCTCAGTGTTTCTGTGATTCTGGGATTTGTACAGCTTAACAAAATGCATCCTGTTTGAGTGTCTTTTTTTCTGCTCTGCTAGTGGTAGTGCATTCAGCAGTATCTATATTATTATGCCTATTATTGCTAGATTAATTCTTTTTATAAGAGCCAGTGTCATATTAAGTCAACATATGCTCACATTTGCTCTTGTATATGTAAGTGTTCAGAAATGAGAGAAACAAACTCACTGGCAATTTGCTGTGTTTTAACTAAGAAAATTTCAGTGCTGAATCTAGTTACTTCTTTTTTTTTTTTTGTATACACTTGAAAATGTATAAATGAATCCATTCATCAAACAGGTCTTTCCGTATTGCCTTCCCAATAAGATTTCAAATTCAGTGAGGTTTTGGTCATATCTCCATCGGTTTACGAATAGTATTTTATCAGATGGATGCTATGCTAAAAGATGGCCTTTTTCTACATAAAAATCCGCACTCTGGGATGAATGGCCTGCATAAAAAATAACTTTTTTAGAAAGAAAAGGGTTTGCTGCTGTTGTTTTTATTGTTTTTTTCTTTCTTAGTTCTCCACAATTCTGAAAAGCGACTGTATAATCTGATCATTCTACTTGTTTCTTACAGAAAGCTTGAGTCAACTGGCTGACTTAGATCCAGCAAACCATGGCTTTGTTTAAGGGGATTTTTGATTTACTATGGGAGCATTATAACTTTTTCTTTTAATTCTACACAGACGAGGTTTTCTGCTTTTGTTTTTTTCTTTGCAAAGCTTGACTGGGGAACATGCCTTTTATGCTTGGATATTACCCATTCAGCATTAATGGCAGACTTTCTGTCTTTTCAGAGTGACATGTTGGATGTGAACCAGATCATTAAAGACCTGGCCTCCATGGTGCATGAGCAAGGAGACGCAATAGGTAGGTATCACTGTTAACGTATGGGCTTTATTACCCTCCTGCACCATTCCAATATGATGTTGTATGTTCCCTTATGAGCAGCTGTTTGTTGATGCTGTGATTATTTTTCCTGTGTTTTGGGCATTTTGTACATCCAGTGATGCTTTGATCTGACAAGCTGCCCTGTGCAATAGGGTTCTTATATTAAGGCTAGTTAGCTGGTATATTTGGCATAAAATAGAATTCTCGGTGAGATTAATCCATTCCCTTTTGACTGTAAAAAGGAAGCTGGAGAATATGTAAGATTACCTGGAAAGGGATCCAATTCTTCCTTTCTACCTGGAACTGTAATGAAAAAACAATAGTAGTAGCAATTATTGTTATGATTATTGATGGTGGTGGAGAAAATTAAGCAGTTTGCTTCCCTAAATGGGATTTTCTTTCCACATTGCAGGGTGTGCCTGATTAAATTTACAGTACCCAACATCATGATGTGCTCACATACATAGTCTGAACCTTCTGCCCATTAGTTGACCTCTTGCTCTCCAACCACCAATAGCTAGGAGTGTGGTGGAGAAAACTTGGGAAAAGAGATAAGAGTAACCCCTAGTATTATCTTTAAGAGCAGCCCATCACTGACAGCCACCACTTTTAGTGAATAGAGAGATAAGACACAGTAGATTTGCTCCTTTTAAATTTCCTCTGACCCTCGTCTTTGTCACTGCTGTCTTCTGATGCAGCTAAGAACAGACTTTTTTTTCTGTATCTCTCATTTTGTGTATGTATGATAATACTGTGCGGTGCTTCAGAAGCAACTGTCTACTTCCAAATTTGAGAGCTAACCACCCTAAAGGCATGTTGAGAGACCTAAACTCCAGAGAAGCAAGATTTGTGGAGGTATTTCTAACCTGCAGCACTCAGCTGGAGTTCTACTGGAGCTCCTGGGAGTTGGATCAAGTCCTAAGACAGCCATATGTTTATCATAAAAGAAGAAACTCTTGCCATATGTAGATCATAAAAGAAGAAACTCTTCTCTGCTGTTTATTAATCACTCTGGATTTCTTTGCCAAGCTCATACCTTTGCAAGTTTCCATTAGCATAAGGTATCTCCTTCACACTGAAATGAGCTAGCTGCATCCCACTGAGAAACACCACTTGGGTTCACAGGTGCAGAAAAAAATCAAGATGATATCTAAACCCAACTTTTTATTATTTCTTCTTTTTTAAAAAAAAATTATTTTATTTGTGCTTGTTTGGAAGCTCATTTTTGTACATGGATAACTTTGGAGCCTGATTCATCTCCTAAAAGCACATCAGATCTTAGTGCCTCGAGGGACATGACAACATACATAAGCTAGCGTCAAGATCCTTGTAACTCCTTTTCTTAAGGCAATATTTATTATTTTAAGCTGTTACCCATGCATAGAAGTGACCCCAGTATTAACATGCCTGCGAGAAACAGTTAGACTAAGTAGGATGTTTTGTCTTTGAGCCAGCATAAGGTTTTTGTTGCTTTTATATCTGACACGTTCTTTCTTCTTCCTGTTTCACTGCAGCAGATTTTTAATAGTTTCTTTAGGAGTATCTTTTCAGCCTGGCAGCCAGTCAAGGTACCTTCCCAACCAATTGCTGAAAGGTCCCACTGTTTATCTTTTGACATTCATATTACACAGAAGTAAGTGAGATTATGAATCAGAAGGCAAAGGGAGTCGAAAGCCCCACAGTGAAAATTCAAAAGCAATGATGTTAAGAGACAGTTCTCTTGGCACTTGTTTTATTTTTTTAATGCGTTCCTCTTACATGCATGAAATGAAACCTCTGTGTGTGCTTGTTTAGAAAACACAGGGAAAATACATAACCATGGAATGTGAGATGCGCCACTCGGCAAAATGTTCCCAGGGCTGTAGAGCAAACCACTCTCTGGCTCACCTGAGCTGGGGAGAATTAATGGGAAGAGCTTGTCTGGTCTATGCACGGCACAAGCAGAGTAACCTGTACTTCTTACAAAAACCTAAAAGTAGTTTTGCTAACGTGTGGGCCAGTTCCTTAATGAACACATCCATAACATTCCTTAGGGCAGAAAGCAATTTCTGTCACGCAAGGAAGAAATAGATGAGGGCAACGTAGACTCGGGGCAGCATCTCTCTATTATTTTTTGTCTTCTGCAAATAAGCTCCATGCCTCTGTTCCTAGTCAGGGCATCTCTTTGACATGAATATTTAACTAAGCATTACAGTATCAGTCAGTCCAAGCCCTCGAAGCCAAAACAAGCTAGTGGCCTAGGTTACCTTTGAACAATCAGAAAGAGTCTTTTCAACAGTGTCTTACAGGAGCTCTTGGCAAAAGCGTCCCTATGCAGCTCCATCACACAGGGTGCCGGTGAGGGGAAAGGGTGCGAGGAGGGGGTCACTAATAGGAGAAATCAATCATTGGCTGTGGAATTGGTGTTGGCAATATGTGGTTTTGGGTTCTATAACCATGGGACCCTGTTTGCGTCTGCTTTAGAGATATGGGATCCACCTCACTAGGCAGGGCAAAACTATTCCTGCCAATAGGATGGCTGACCTCATAAGGAGGGCTTTACACTAGGAATGATGGGGGAGGGACGGGGCGACCAGCAGTCCTGTGAGGAAGCAATGCTCAGGACTGCTGAATAGAGGGCATGGGGTGGTATGGCAGGAAGGGTTCACAAAGTCATCACAATGGGGCCTGGGCACGGTCACCTCTAGCACTTGAATGTAGGCAGCGAGGTGCTTACAAGGCACCGTTTCGGACAAACATCCCAAACCCTCTCCAGGAACTCAACATGCTGGGGTGCATCTCTAAAGTGCCTGTACACTAATGCACACAGTATGGGGAATAAACATGAAGAGTTAGAAATCTGCATGCAGTTGCAGGGGTATGATTTTGTTGGGATCATGGAGACATAGTGGGTTGGCTCCCATGAGGCTGGTGAGGGGTCTGGAGAACAAGTCTTCTGAGGAGTGGCTGAGGGAACTGGGGTTGTTTAGCCTGGAGAAAAGGAGGCTGAGGGGAGACCTCATCGCTCTCTACAACTCCCTGAAAGGAGGTTGTAGCGAGGTGGGTGTCGGTCTCTTCTCCCAAGTAACTAGCGATAGGACGAGAGGAAATGGCTTCAAGTTGCGCCAGGGGAGGTTTAGATTGGATGTGAGGAAAAATTTCTTTACTGTAAGAGTGGTGAAACATTGGAACAGGCTGCCCAGGGAAGTGGTTGAGTCCCCACCCCTGGAGGTATTTAAAAGACGAGTAGATGAGGCGCTTAGGGACATGGTTTAGTGGGCATGGTGGTGTTGGGTTGACGGTTGGACTCGATGATCTTAGAGGTCTTTTCCAACCTCAATGATTCTATGATTCTATGATTCTATGATGAGTGTTACATTGGAGAGATACAGGCTCTCCAGGAAGGACAGGAAAAGAAGACGAAGAGGAACAGATGCCCTTTATGTAAGAGAGCAGCTGGAGTGGATGGGGCTCTGCCAAGGGATGGATGAGGAGCTGATGGAGAGTTTATGGGTTAGGATTAAAAAGAGGACAGGCAAAGCGGATGAGGCCCTCTACATCAGATGGGAACAGCCTCATGTCTGCAGGCTCTGGTCCTCATGGGGGACTTCAATCACCCCAATATCTGTTGGAGAGACAACACAGCAGGGCATAAATAATCCAGGAGGTTCTGGAGTGCATTGATGATAACTTTGGGGATCTGATGTACAAATGGCAAGATCTCAAGAGGGCTAGAAGAGGGCCATCTCCACTGCTAAACTTTACTTTCATGGTAGCAGAAGGGTTCTTCAGCCAAAGCATCCAAGGCAAGGATTAAGGACTTAGTACTGTGAGAAGTAAATTACATTGGGGGTGATTGCTAAAGCAGCAGTCACTCCTCTCCATGCTCATAGATGGCCACTCAACTGAACTACAAGTGCCTCAACAGCTTGAAACATTCCCAGTGTTTCATACTGAACATCGCTATTTTACGTGTGCAAACTTGTTCTTTCATTGGCCGTACTGGGATAAATAGGCATAGTTCCATGAGATCAATTTTATAACTGGTGTTAGGGAGAAGAGAATCCTTAAATCCCCAATTCCTCTGAAGAAAGTGTCAACAACACAGCCACCATTATTTGCATTAGCACCTAATGAAGGCAAGTACATATTTGTCCACCTCTGCAGGCTTCTGTTTGTCTTGTAACAGAGAATAAAGATGGCCTGAATAATACAGTTATTGCTTCCCCCCGCCCCATGGTAAAAGAAACTGCTGTTCTGTTTTTGTTTTAGAAGAGCTGTCTTTCCATCCTACCTGTGTATGTAACCTTACTAGTTATGCCAAAATAACGTGCAAGATCTACATCCCTTACCTACACAACTTTCACCATTTATATCATTGTTTGCAGCTCTATCACATTTCTCAAAACTGCAGGGAAAGACCCATGTTGTTCTGAAAACATTTTACACTTTTAAAAGAGTCACATTTCTTCCTCTGTAGGACAGTTTCAGAACCAACCTTCTGCCAGCGTACCTGTAACCCCCCCAACTCCCTAAAATGGGAAGAAATTCCAAGATCACATACTGGCCACCTAATTTAAGATAACAGCGGCAGGGACACAGCAACTAATTTACCAGCCCTTGATCTCTTTGTCCAGACCAAATGTGTACAAATCTATGTTTGCACAGCAAATCCCACTTGCTGGAAGAAGACCCCACTGCGTCAAGCAAAAGGCTTCCTCAGACTTGCTTTTTCTTCCATTACTTACCCAGGCTTAGATCTTGGTGCTACTAACCTTTCACTTCACTCTTGAAGTCTGGGCATTTTATATTTGAAAATAATAGGGTGAAGAAACTTCATAACGTGATCTAAAGTGGATGCTCCCTCACTTTACGAACATCACTACATGGTATCTGTCAGGCTAGAGCCCATAGACCTGCCAAGATAAATATAAACATGGCAGCTGGTGCTTTCCTCCAGTCTCGGAAGAACTTCCTGATAGTGTCAATATATTCAGTCC